TATATGTATATATATTTGTTCCTACGAGATTATCACATCAGGTATACATCAAATGCCGAATCATATCATGAAATTACAATTTCAATTATATATATATATGTATGTATGTATGTATATAACGGATAAAATAATTTTCATGATATACTGACAGGCGGAACTTTGCAATGATGCTTTTGTCAGTTGATAACTTTTCGAATAACTTCATTTCACAATTCTCATCAACTCGACTCCTTTCATTCAATGATCAAATTTTCCAAAAGTGTCCGTGTAAATTTGTTTTCTCGTAATCTCATTCCGTGGAAATTGCGTCGCTTTTTGCTAGAAAGTTACGCAATGTTCGCTGAATGAAAACAGATCAATGACATGTCCGATATTATATTTTTTCCTCTCCTTTTATTCTTCCTATTTCTTTTTAATTTTTCAGCTCAATGTACATGCTGTGTTAAAAACTGGATTTTATTGTTTCGGTGAATAGTCCGTCCCTCATGGTGAAGAATGTGTATGAATTTTTTTGTATGAATGAAATGTTTGAATTCTCATATGTTTCGATTTGAGGCAGAGGGTAAAGCATGTAGACTTTTCGGAGCTTTTCGTGCAAAGTTAATCGGATTGCAAGATTATTGCAAGTTGCACTTATGGGTCTTCAAATTTAGGGCGTTGGCGTGCAAACGATCTGTCGATTATCTTTGTATCGTTCGTGATCGAAGGAAGCAATTTTGATAGTTTCTTAATGCGTTATAGGGAGCCTCATCGCCACGTTTCGCGGATGGATAATTGAATAGTATGCATAGAACAAATTATCTTCTGATTATTCTGTTCGCTGATAACGATTGATTAACGAATTTGACTTTCAGATTTTTGTTAAAGCTGATCGAGTTATCTTTGAATGTTTTTATACGAGGTTTTATGTGTTTATCTTCATTCGGATATGTTGCGAGCAGTGGCGCAAAAAATGGTAAGATTCGCACAGCAATATTGTGTCGCTCCTCGCAGGTACCGAATGATTACAACAAAGTAAGTTTGACGAAATTTAATTCTGGGTACATATTGCTTTAACAAAAATTTTGAGGAAAAATCGTGAAAAATAATCGTTGGATGATAAAATGATATAAATATAATTTGTGTGATGTAATTGAGAGGACAATTATTTAAATTCTCGAGGAAAATGATTTTTACGTTTATTTTCATTGAAAATATGAATGATTTTCCTAGCGAGCTGTTTAGGATTTTTACATTGATTTGCAGCCTCGTTGCGGGTCTCGCAGAGGTTTCAAGTCTTTTGAATTTCCAGTTTCAACGTCACAGAAAATTACATATATAAATTCATTTTATTTGAAATTATAAACATTTTTACGGAATAAAGAGGTTTTTAATGCATACTATTCAAAATTAATTGACATTGTAACAGCAAAACACAAGGTACAATTCATATAGGATCGCAGGATTAAATTTAACATCGTTCCCATTTTATGAAAAAGATTGCTACTTTATAATCGAAATAGTTCATAAACGTGAGAGAGTATTTATCAACTTTCATTTCCTGTTGCTAATATTTGCATTATAAATTCTTGCTTTCATAAAATACTTTTAAAACTCGGATAATCGTAATGTCTGTAATTGACTTGACTTATCATTTTAATGCAATTATTGTTTCTCTGTTAATCATTGCTGCGCAGCGATCATTACCAGAGCTGCAATACATTGCACGAATGGTAACTAATTTTTACAAGAACAAGGGTTTATGATTACTCAAATAACGAGAAACGGGTATACATTTGGTAAAAACTCGCATGTTTATGTATCTCATCTACAACTTGAAAGAAGTACACTTGGATTTTAATGTTTTCTTGATGCAATCTCCAATTTTCACGACAATCGAGACTCGACAAAACTGACGGAACCGATCGCAACTGATTTAGATTCAATCATTCCCTCGCATTCCACGTGAAGGAAGATTCCAATGAATGGAGACGCGTTGTATGCTCGCGTGATAGTTGTGGAGGGCCCCACGGTGTTTCAGAGTCTTTTCTCGGGTATCGTTGCTCACGCTGTGACCGACGTTATTCGGTTCAGTATTCCCTGGAAAGGCATCAGCGCTACGAGTGCGGGGTGGAGAAGCAATTTTCCTGCGGGACCTGCCGGCGACGTTTCACCAGGGTGGACATCATGCGATCACATCAGAAGAGGACGGGTCATCGTTTGACACCCTATACCAGACTAGTCAAGGTGTCGCCTTTGGACCGTCACGTCTCCGCGACAGAGGTTTTCCCGAGGGAGTACGAGAACGAGAGCCACCAACAGCAGCAGCAGCAGCAACAACAGCGACAACGGAGAGGCAGAGGGGGCATCAATAATTCTAGCATGTCGATTTGTCGTAGTTGAATCTTTTTTCCCCTCTCGTGATTTCTATTTCTCTCTTAACGTTTCGAACCGAACCTGTCCATGAAAACAGAAGCCACGTCGTGATGCCAAGTTTTTTTTTTTTTTTTAATCTTCTGTCATACTAAGTAAATTCAAAATATTTATATTCAGAAAATATATCTATCAATAATGCTTTCTTCGAGCAATCTAACGTCGTTATCTGCTTTCCATGGGCGTAGATGCGACGTTATGTAGCTCGACAGAAATCGGGATGGCTTTATCAAGTTTCACATTGACCTCCAAGAGTAAAATTCTTATCGTACATATTGTTTTATTTTTAATTTTTATTTTGTTTAAAATTTTTTTAATGTTAATTTTGATGAAATCACTTGGAGTTCAATTTGATCTTTGGTTGCCACAGTGTTTTCAAAAAGTTACCTTGAGCAGTATATTAACTCGAAATTATTTTTGATATTATAATTATTGGCTTGGCTCGCGACGTGTAAAATATTACTGTTTGATTATAGTATGTTTTCTTTAATTAAACTCGGAGGCGTGTTTTGTTTTATTTTACTCAAATTAATTGAATTTTGTCGACTTGGAATTTAACTTTCATATTGCTATCTTGAAGAACTTGTTACGATTTTTCAAGACTAACTGTTTTTCAATGCAACAGGGAAAGCGAATTCTGAAATTTTGTTTGAAAGAATGTTAGATTTGAGAAAATGTTATAAAAATTATAATACCTTATATAGTTATATTGCGCATGATATTCTGTAAATATCCAAATTTAGAATTATTAGAAATTATTTCGGTAAGAGAAAATCATTTTCGGAAATACAATCGGCGTTAACACTGTTGTAAATCGGTTCGTTAGAAATAACGGCGCTAATCTCAAATTTTTGTTACAATAAATGACTAATTTCTATGAAAAGTGAATCAGACGTATGTGTTCTAATGATGTTTTTTTTCATTGCTTCTCTGGAAGTATTAGTTACTGATCAGACAATTCACAAAGTGCGGTCTAATACTCGAGATTTCTCACATTTTCACGCGAATATTTCATTAAATAATGTTTCATTCTTCCTATTCGAAGATCTTGTGAAATTATTTTCGAAATTTATCATCCAATTACACGGGCACGCAAAACCAAGTTTAATGTTTCATTCGAAGATTAGACCATGGTATTCTTACGTATTTTGGCGCTCTGAAACGTAATCTAATATCCAAATTGCTCGGTTACGAAAGTCTTTTCTACGGGGAACATCTCGATTCTCTAATATTTTTAAAGTTTTGAGTAGTCTGGTTTTCAAAATGCTGAGATAAATATGCAAACTTATGAAGTATCCAAATTGCTAAGTTAAAAATATTGGAAAATCGAGCTCTTCTCCATTGGTAAAAAGAAAAAATTGTGACGGGAGCAATTCGAACAACGGTTTCAGAGCACTATATATACAAGAATACTACAGTCTATCTCCGGTAAAAAAAAAATGTTTCGAATGTCTGTGTAATCGAATTTGTAAGTTATTAAAGACGAAAGCATTTTTTCTTTTGCTAAATATCACTATAAGATCACTTCATCAATTGCTGTTAACAATTGCTGTTGAGTTAATTTATTTTGAAATCAAAATATATATATGATCTCCGGTTATGCAAACGACACATTTTGTCTTCAGCTAGAATACGAATCATTGTCAATTAAATCGTCTTCTAAATTTTTTCCGTGATATAAGAATTATCGTCATGTTACTTTCGTTCATTCGTCAATGTCTCTCCTTTTCAGCCTAGTATTTCATTAATATAAGTTTATTGTTTGCTCTCCGTATAATCTCGAATTATAATCGTTAGTTATGTGGTAAACTTTCTGAGTAGAATTAACGTAACTGTAAGCTAACGTTCACACGAGGAAGCATTCTTTTTATCATGTCTTTGGAGAGTCTTACACGTATGCTTTCGTGCCAATCGTATCGACCTTGCATCCAATCGTATTTTTCAATCCACAAATGCGAATCCGACCAGTTGATGGACCAGATGAAGAACAAATAAAGAATCTCTTTGGAAAGAATCTTCTACTTTTTTCAATTGTGCGAACCCTACACCCAGCTTTTCAGCTCTCGTATCGTTGCGAATGTAAAATAACTTAGTTACTAACTTTTGGTGTGGCATAATCTCAAACCTTTTCGTATTATCAATTTAAAAATTTTATTACAAAAAAAATACTAAAATTAGCCATTAATCTTCTACAGTTTATTTAAATATTTTTAAACGTTTGAATCTAATTCTCAAATTTTTCTTTTTAGAAAATAACTTCAAAATATCTGGCAATTAAGATCACATTCATTTGATCTTTGAAAAAAGTAAGTCGTATATTTCATTTATATATAAACACCGTTTACATAATTTTTTTAACGAAAGATTAGGAAATTCAGGGCGATATTTATTATGAACTCAAAATAATGCCAGTGCGTAGAGAGAGTCCGAAAGAGAAAGGAGAGAGAGAGAGGGAGAGAGGAAATATTTCAGAAAAAGCTCGTTAACGTAAAAGTGAAAATAAAATTCTCGAAAGGAATCTTTAAAATTTAAATGCATCTTGTCGCGTCCGCACGCATAATTGACCTCCGGGGTGATATAGTTGGCCGATGATGCTTGCAGCTGCCACGCCGTATTGGTCACAGTCCACTGGGGTGCATCAGCAACCCACGGCACATTACTGCAGACTCTCCTGTCCAAACTGCGGTCGCAGCTACAAGTATCGAAGCGGTCTGCGAGGACATATCGCCGACTGTCTCTCGGAAAAAGAGAAATTGGAAGCTGATTTTCGTCAACGACAGGAGCAGCGGCGGCAGCGAGAACAGCAGCAGCAGGTGCAGCCGCCGCGACTGGAGCAGTTCACTGCGAAAGACGTCAGAATACTGTACAAGTTTTGGAAATCGTAGATACTTGTGTAGCACAGAGACGAATGAAAATCGGTAGTAAAAAATCTTCCATCCATTTTGCGTCGAAATTACTTGTTCTTGTTTTATTTCACCTTTGAACACGGAGGCGGGATCCTACGATCGTTTCTCGTTCTTGGATGCTCCAGTATCTCGATCCAGGCACTATATCTCTTGCTCCTCTCTTGACGACAATAAATCTGTTTTCTGTGGCTGAACTAGTATACACTTTTGGAACTTGAGTGAGAGATAGGTATATGTTTGATATTTGTCGAAAGCAAGAAAGACAGTTCCAGTGCAATCTAGTTCAGGAACAGAAAACAGACGAAATACGTGGCTTTTCACTAGTTCTCTTGCTCTTACATTTTTCTTTTTGTTATACGTTTAAAAGCGAGATAACCGTAAATATACTTAATAAAAATAATGTTTATCTCTAAAATTGATCGTATTTAATAAACATTACTTTGGTAATTGTGAAGAATTATTTCATCAATGGTTTACTTGTGTGTGTACATATATAATATATACAATTTCTGTGTTCTACTTTTTTTATATTTTTCATTCGGCTATAAGTACATAAATAGAAATGTTATATCACGCATTAAATAAAATGAATAAATAAAATTTAAAGTTTGTAAAATTCAGCTCGTGCGATATGCGATGCACTCTCGCATCTTACTAGCGAATATACAATATAATCTATAAATTAATATCTATATATTAATAAAATGACGTAAATCGATCCTTTAATCACGAGTAGCATCTGGTACATGCTACTAGTACTGTAAATAACCATCAGTATCTGATTAACGAAGGAATAAATGAAGCATCAGTGATTGTTGGTTGATGTGTATTGCATGCTGAAGTTTTGTCATCTAGCGAAACGTAAGCTTCGTGATTGTCAGCGTGGCGAGTAAATGTCACATTTAAAGCGGCAAATGAAGGAGTTATGTATCTCGAACGGCTCATCGGAGGGAAATCATCCACGTTCAAATCATTCACGCGTAACTTCAGCCAGTATTTACACTCATTCGCCGTGGATATGTGTTGGGTGAAACTATACAAGAAATCATATTTTACGTTGGGTTGAAATTAATTACATCACGGGTGTAAAAATGGATGCACTAATAAAATGCAGTTCATTTTGGTGCAGCATGTAAATAACAGCCCAAAATAATGAAGACTGCACAAGAGTCTGCCGTAAGGATTGATGACGTATTTTTTCAAGTGTATAAATATATTGCTATAGTTTTATTTTTTTTTATCATTGTTACATAGAACGTCACTCTATAAAGCTTTCACATATCGATTACTTGCTTTTGTCGTAAAGTTTTTATTATATACTACTTTGTCTTTAACTTATTCTTCAATAACTCAAAGATGTGTAAACGAGAATAAACGAAATCTCATTACGTCTAAAAATAAATTTAATTCTATATATGTTAATAATTAAATATTCTATATACTTGTTACAATAATTGAACGTTAAAGAATTAATTAATTTGTTAATTTATTTGTGGACAACGCGACTTTTAATTTTTATCTACTGCAATAATAGAGTATTGTATATACGGCGGTATTAAATTTTTCAGTAATTCATTATTTTGAAAGACTTTGAAAGAATTAAATGCGAATAGAACTGGTTTCTATTCCTCGACGGGCTTGGGAGCTTTTTGTGCAGTCTTCCTTTGGAGCGAGCTTGATTCAGTATTGTCCACACGCTTGGTTCGAGCTTTTTCCTCAACGGTCGAGAAAGAAAAAAAAAAGAAGGGGGGGTCAAAGTGTCCAGGTCACACTGTCTCGACCGGAGTGACCCGCGGCTTTGCAGATAAGAGGGGCTCATTTCGTGCGTCCGACAGGAACCCGTATGATGTAAAAGGCCTCCCCCTGTATGCTTGCAGCCAGCCCCGCGAAGGAGATCGTCTTGAGTGGCGGCGACGGCGAACTGCCATTTCGGTGTGTAATGTGCGGACGTGGATACAGATCGCGATCCTCTCTCACACGACACTCCAGATACGAGTGCGGCCGCCTCGGATCCCGGTATACCTTCACCTGCACTCTCTGCGGCAAATACTTCTGCCGACCGGATCACCTCAAGCAGCATATCCTCAACATCCACGGGGGTTCCGTCGCTAAATAACCGCGGCTGTGTTTCATCTCCTTCGGCGTGTAGAGAAACATTGTCATCGATCATCGACTCGCCGTTTACTGATGATGAATCGATTGGCAGCCGTTTTTGAGGACGTCGAAATTACTGCGAAAGTAATTGCGATTGTCATGAAATCGAGAAGGAATGTTTTTGCATCATATTCTCTATAAAACAGATTTTATATTTTTATTAAAAAAGAAAATGTAATTTTCATGTACATATAAGTAATCTTATAAATTTGAACTTAAAGTTTATAAACTGCTGGATCACTTTTATGCACTATTGCTTTAGCGTGGTATGCGAATGAGATTTGAAGTTCTACTTAGAATGAACATGTTTATTTTGATTCTGATGCTGCAATAATATTTCTTATTGAACGGGTTTTCTAGACTAGGTTGCAGATAATTTAGGAGCCCCTCTTAGAAATATTTTTATCGTTTATCTCGTGGAGCTTTATTTTAATCGTACTGTTCGCTTAGATTTGTTTATCCAAAGGAATACCAAAGGAAATTTTTATTTTGAATTTGTCAGTAGTTGTTAGTTATTTGTATATGGAACTATGAACTATTAGTTATCTTTTGTAGCTATTAGAATATTTTTAGAGAAAGTATTTAGTGATTAATTTGAATCTTGAAACGTAAGTTCTCATGTAAAAGTTCTTATTCAGAAAAATCTTACTTCTCGTTCGTGTTTGAAAAATTTCTCGTTCAAGAGTTTGTTAACAGTCTAATCTAACGAGTTTTCAGGTAACAAATACGATTTATTTTCTGAATAAATTTTATTACAGTATAGTTAAAGAGTTAAATACATTATTAATAGATTCTTTATTATTGCGCAGTTCCAAGATTAGTTTATGTTACATATAAATGCTCAAGTAGACATTTCTGCTTAAATGACAAAAGATTTTATGTTTCACTTTCTTTAGAAAATTCAAGATGAAATGAAATAACTGCGTGCATATTATACGCGTACTTGCGTGTTTTAGAGGTGAACTGCCAAATAGCCTGATCACGAATGCCAAATGACTAATATTCCTATTTTTCTAGTGCAATATACATGTTTAAGTTATTCTATAAAAGTATACGATTATACAATGATATATAAATGTGTAGATGGATTAATATATTGGAGAGTGTTGTTTAGGAGTAACAGAACTCTGTGAATAAGAAATGAGTCATCTGTTTCGTCTCTTGTTGAATTTTCTGAATTCGTTTGAATGTATTTGTTATATTTTTGAAAGCAAACTTTAAACTAAAAAATTAATATTTTTTTTTATTAAAATGTGTTCAAATTGATAGAATGTATATTGATAAAATGCAGAAGTTTATCAGTCTTTCCAGAGCATGTTTGAATGCATATGCAATCCTTATCATGTATTTTTCTATATTTTTTTCTATATGAATAAATCTCTTTTGTCTTATTATTAAAACAGTTTTTTAATATTATATCTTGAATTATCTTAGTAAAACGAAATTAATTGTGAAAGTCTATCAAGTTTTTGCATTCTAAATATTTTACTTTATATATACGCCGATAGTTTTTAAAATAATATAGTACGCGTATTGAAATCTTTTTGGTTTTCTTTACGATTAAAGAATTAAATTGAAAAATACGAAGTTGTAGGCACTGAAAATTGTTTAAAAATTCGATAGATATATTTATTGTGTCATAGAGTAAATTTTAAAAAATGTTGGAGTCTATAGGGATAGGATTTCTTTTTATAGTTTTATTGCAGAAGTATCGGTTATGTGTAAAGAGAAATTATGTTATGTAGCGACTCTACTGTCGTATGTTTGAGGCTATAAAATATGCGCAAATATGTTATTTATGCGAGTTTACGTAAATAGAAGAGGTATGATGGGGTCATTTTTCATTACCCTAAAAGATGCGATATGGGTACATTACTGTTATTGTTGGACATTGATTCCACACGTTGTTACTTATCATACTTTATAAATTTTTATGGTATTTCAATAAAAAAGTAATATTAAATAAATTCTGTATTTCTTAACCACTTTCCATCCATTTTTTTGGTATCACGTTCCTCTCAATCTGATTATATCTCCGTTATGTTTTTTAATATTTTCATCTTTTATGTACATTTATTTTTTGTAGCATACAAAATACCGTATAATAATGCTGTTATAATTAAAAAATTTTTAATATATAGTGATATTTTATTTTTAAACTAATTGTAAATTAAAGTAATTATTAAATTAAATATTTGTAAATATATATTAAATTAAATATTTATTTAAAAGAAATAAAAATAAAAGCGGTTTACATTTTATTTTTGTTTATAATTAATACAAATGCTCAGTTTTTATAATTACAATTCCGGCTAATTCAGTCAATATGATATTAGACTAAAAACAAATAATTGTCTTTCGGCTAATTTAGAATGTATGACATCTGGATTTTGCTTTTCATTTTTTAAATTTGTGAAAATTATATCTTAATATATATATATATATATATATATATATATATAT